CCCCCCCCCCCCTTGCCAGGTAGAACAATGCAAGTGCCTCGCGCTTCGTGGATCCCACTCAGGGCGATTGCCTGTCAGCAACATGGGGCGACTTGCTGGCTACTTCGGATGCGAATGGCATTTTCAGGATCAAGACCCTTGTAGAAGCCTTACAGTAACCTTTAATAGTAACCTTTAATAGTAACCCACTGTTTCTGAGGCTAACGATCCGGATGAGGGCGAGCAAGATGCGACGACAATGATAAGGACCAGGATGCAGATGATAAAGGTGATTGCTAGCACCAAGAAGATTACTAGTCCTTCAGTTGCGCCAGTCCGCAATTCTGTAACGATCCGATCCGTTACAAGCACAGGTTAGGGTTGTAATGTTGATATAGGGGCCTTAACTGTTTGAATTGAATAGGGTTTGGGGCATATTGTACCAGAGTTATAATAAGGAACCCCCAAAACCCTCTTCGAATTCTTAAGGCCCCTACACTAGAACCCTATTATAGATCCCTTGTAGAACCCTTTAAAGGAGGCCTTTAAAGGAACCCTATATTCTAAACCCCAAAACCCTAAACCCTAAACCCTGGCCCCTACCTTAAAATCTGCTCCAGCCGACTCTCTTCCTGCCCACTGCGTAGTCTACAGCAACACAGAGCCCCTCGCCGGGAACCCTGCACGAAGCCATGGGTGCTCACACGCTAAGTTTAGGGTTTAGGGTTTGGGGTTTAGGGTTTAGGGTTTGGGGCCGGGTTTAGGGTTTGGCGGTTTAGGCGTTGACAAGCTGAAAACTGAGCCACGGGCCTCGGGCATTTTCGGGACACCATGTAAACCGGGGCAGGTAGGCTGTTTTCGAGCTGGATCTACCTGAACGCCTGGACTTCCAAGAAGCCCATGCAGGATTGGACGTTGCACAAGTAAGAGAATGGCAGAAGCGCACTAAAGCTCCGAAACCATGCTGTTCCAAACTGGTAGCCTCGGCAAGAAACTTGTATTCCCACATTCTCCCGGAACCAAGAAAATTTGAACCCGATACCGACAAATTCACCCTGAAGCCCTTCAAACCTCAGGACCTCACAACATCCTGAACCAAGGTCGTGACATTAAGACCCTGACAGCTACAGCTGTGATGGATTCTTGTTTACTATCAGCCTTTCTAGTGTCTATCAGCCTTTCTAGTGCCACATGGCACTTCCGAACTATTACTACTTCCAATACTATCTGGATACGATCATGATGAGCTACTTCAGTTTCCTTTTTTCGATTCCTATTTCTGTTCTTCGCATCGCAGACTTCTTTGCAATCCCCCCCCCCCCCCCCCCCCNNCACGACCTTGGGTTTAGGGTTTAGGGTTTTAGGGTTTTAGGGTTTAGGGTTTCGGGTTTAGGGTTTAGGGTTTAGGGGTTTAGGGTTTAGGGTTTAGGGTTTCAAAAAGGGCTTTAGGGTTTTAGGGTTTAGGACATAACGGAGGCCAGCTGTCAAGAGGCTTGGTCTTCGGTCCAAGCCTTTGGGGCACTCAAGGGGTCTAGTCAAAGGAAACTACAGGTGGGGAGTTTAGGGTGTATAGGGCTTCTACAAGGCTTCTATAGGGTATATAGACCTTCGATAAGGCTCCTATAACGGTAACTACCCACCTGAAAATGTCCTAGATCTAGGGGCCTCAATAACTCGACTAGGGATTTTTGAGGGTATATTCATACTATATATCTATATATAACCCTAAAGCCTACGCCCTAAACCCCTAAACGTATATATATATATATATATATATATATAATGCCGAAGGGGCTATCGGGGGCTTAAAACTGAGGGCCTGGTGCATAGACTGTCAAAGAGTTCAGAGTTCCGGGTCTCGGGGCTCACACCTCCGACAACTCAGGCACGACAGGTGTCTTGAAGTCAAAGGGTGAAAAAACAATATATATATATATCACACCAGTCTTACCGAAAGCCCTGTTGGAAATGAATGATCCTCGTTCAAGACTTTCACAGGCTCCGGGCCTAGGCTTTTAAGTTGTATCGCTGCCGGACCTATCTGCGTAATGTAGGGCCCTAAATGATTATGGGGGGTTCCTTATTCTTATAACTAAAGGATAACCTACCCCCGAGCCCTATTCTATTTATTTGGGCCTCTATACTAGCGCCAATTTCACGTCTCAATCTGGCCTGTCTTAGGTTCCTGATTCAGTGTAAGCTTGCTACACACAAGATGCACCACCCTAAACAAGCCCCAAACTGTAAGCCCGAAGGGCTACGTGTTCGACCGACAGCTTCTGAGGTTATGGACCCAGGCTAGAGCGGCTAGAGAAAAGGCAAAGACTCGCGATCCCTAAACTTCGAAGTCGAACCAGAAATAAGCAACGGGCATGTTTGGTCAATAGTCAATAGGGCTAGGCCACAGACTTGCTGAGACGTCCTATTTCCGCCCGTGTCCGTTTTCCTCTCTTGCGGGCTTCTGCTTAGTTGGCACTGCAGGGCTGCGGACCTTGAGGCTGTGCCAGATCCCAATTACTAGCCCTCCAAATAAAGCTGCAACCCTATTGATGTCGTCGCCGAAACAACTACTACATCGGCATCATGCGATGCCGACGATCATTGCAAGAGGCATGTCGTGGCTCTAGCATGCGGTTGATATGCTTCTCGGCGTGAAAAGAGCAGGAAACATAGGCGTTTATGATAATGGACAATGGGGCAGGTAGAGGCCGAATAGAGTAGGACGCTGGAGTCGAAGGACAGGAGCATAACCAGGACGT